TTATCTCAACCCACGAGTTTTTCTCACTTGTGCTTTTCCAATTCTCTTCCCCATCCCACTGGGGGGAGTGGGGGTGGGTGGGTGAGCGAGCGGCTGCGTGGTGCTTAGTTGCCAACTGAGGTTAAACCACGACACTCAGCCACTTTACAAAAATGAGGAAAAGCCTTAGTTTTTGCAGCTCAGTAATGGTTTGGTTTTGTAACTGGAATTGCAACACCACATTCAGAAATTACAATTAACAAGCTGACAGCCATGTGTACCTTGTGAATTTTAACTACTGAAATAGATTTATATTTTACAAAGTGTCAAGCCCTGTTCCTTTCCATACTCTCACAGTACACAGTTGTATATCTCTAGAGACCTTTATTTTATTACATAATTTTACCTGAGGTTTTCTAACCATGCCTCTAGTCTTAGTGAGAAATCTCACTTTAGCTGTGTATAGCTGTGATTAAGTATTTCTTTATTTCATTCTGAGTAAATTAGCTTCTCCTTCTCTGTAAAGTGAAAATTCATTAATTCTGTCCGGCTGGCCATACATTTTAAGTCCAGACAAATAAAAATAAGGACAAGAAAGAAACGTGTACGCTGGATGTCACAGTTCACATAACCGGCAGCAGGTTCACGCTTATCATTGTACTTCTAAGTTTCTACTTTTAGAGTACAGTTTGATCAACAGCTACCAAACAACAAAAACAATCCCAAATTTTAAGAAATAATCTGAGGTTTTCACTCCTTAACGTTTGAGATGCTGGGCTCAACACACATTCCTTCCTGACGCTCAAATAATAATTAACCTTCAAGAATCAATTAATTACTATTTATGCAGGTCCATCACCACCTTAAACTGGTCTACCACCACATCCCCGTCAAAAGGGATGGTCCTGCCTTTCCTTATCTCAAACTCTGACAGTCAGAACAGTGACCTAACCAGACTCATTGCACAGCTTCAAGGTCACTAAGGAAAGAAGAGAGGCACCGACAATGGGCAGTCAGAAACGGAGAGAGAAAAAGGACTGCCCATGTACTTTGCTTGTACACCTCTCTCATAAAAGGCTCCCATCATATGTGGGTTCCGTAAACGTTTGTGTCTAGGCAAATAATAAAATAAACTTGGAAAAAAAACAGTTTCAGAACACAGCTCTACCCAAATACACGCATTATAGCATAGTTATTTCATCCTGCAAACCATCCAGGAGGTAATGAGTAAGTCCCATAACACCACAATGTTCCAAATATAAGGGTAAATCAAAACACTATTACGTGTTTCCATTTACCTGTCTTATAAAGAAGTCTCCATGGATTAGAGATACAATGCCAAAGTTTGTATACTTAAAAATATGATCCATCAGCCACATCATCTGACGGACAACCTGAAAAATAAAAAAAAAAAGAAGTTTAGTAAATATCAAGTGCAGAGAATTATGTATATACTGGTCACATTCTCATCACCCTCACAACAGCAATAAATTAGCAAATATATGGAATAAAGTCCTTTATGCCCCAAAGTATAAAGCAGCACAGGTGCTACACTTCTCCCTCAAGAGCAGGATTAAATAGCTGCCTTTTTGTAATATAATATACAGTTCTACACTATTAGCCATATGCTAGAGTAGTTCTACTCCGCCTTTTCACACAGCTAGTGTAATTCTTCTTATTGACATACCACTACAATTTTAAGCCAGTTGCAAACTAAAACCATTTTCAGTGTTTGTTGAAGTACACAAAAAAACGCAGATCTGTATTTGAAATCTCCAACTGTTTTATGTCTATCACAAAAACATGTTTCCTTATATTTTTTTGTACTGGGTGATTTTGGGGATGAGATCATGTTGTTCTCGTGCTTTTGATGTGCACATGCTCCATACGTGCTCACTCTATCTTTGAACAGCAGCATTCACTGAGACCTATGTACAGCCCACATGCCATTACTGATTTCTCTCACGGCAGAGCAGCCACATGCATCCCTGAGCATTTCATTAAGTCATGCTCCTTGTCCCAGCCAAGAAGCACAGTAAGAAGGCAAAAATAGAGGTTGAACCATTAGATTCACTTTGACTATCGCTTCTTACAGGACAGTGAAGGCAGATACTGTATCTGTTCAGTTCTTTGAGACTTAAAATAGAAGAATTACTCCAGAAGAGGTAAACAGCAGAAGGGAAAAGCTTCTTCTCTCACAAAGTCTTTCCCCTCTATGGTTCCTACATGTAGATTTTGAGAGGGGTAGGAATTGGCTCTCCAAAACTGGAAAATCCAGTCTCTCTCACATGCTCTCAGTCATACACGAGGCTAGCTGCCTTTACTCTTCCCTGTGTTATAAGGCCACACCAAGACTGATTCAAGTTCAGTGAAACTTAAAGTCATATAACATAATACTCTTCCATTTAGCGCTATCAAAAAAGCATACGGAGAACCATGACATTTCTCTGGTAGTCAGAAGATCATTATTTGAATCTTAAACGGGCACCTTCTGCTTGGCATCTTTCAGTTGTCCAAGATACATAGTTTGAGGCAAAGACAGAAAAAAAGCAGTCTAAGAAATAAAGATTTCCTCTAGAAAATACAATGTATTGTTCATGTTAGTTAATTACATCTACTGCTAAAGTGTACTCTGCGCTTCTCTCCAAACACCAGAGGCTTGCACAGTAACTGAAATACTCGGAATCCACATCCATGCCTTCAACAATACCTTTAACAAAATAGTTTCATACAGTGAAAGATGGTGGCTTTTACCTGTTTTCACATCTTCACATGTCTACGTAGAATTTGTAGAAAGCAGCAGATCATATTTCGTGCAGGAATTCTGTTTTGTAAAAGCAGCTCGATAATTTGCAATTTGTATCTAGAATTGCATGTATCAGTAAGTCTTTCTTCCAAAGAAATCTAATTATATCTTGGAGTGCTCTCATTACCTATTCTCCCTTTTGACCACAGAAGCTATAAATGAATGTCGGGTTATATATTTGGAGACAGGTAACTGTCACATACCCTGTTTCTTTTGCTTATCCTTAAACAACTGTGGCCGGATGCTCAAAGTGAAGTTTTTACACCCTTGCAAGAACATACTTGCCAAAGAACGTTTAAGATACTTTATTGCCTTAGACATATAGCTGATCTCCCAGCAAAATCTGAATGTCACATTTAGAAGCTAGCTATCCTTGCCTAAGAGCACATTAAGAACACCTCAACTTTTGTGGGTTTTTAATACTAGCAAACGTTCTATTTGAAGATCTTGGATAATGCAAGAGCACCCATTTTTGGACCCTCTAGCATCACTGGAAGTGGAAAAGGAAACCAGGTCTGAGAGAAAAGGACAGCTCTCAAAGATATGAAAGTTTGCTTTGGAAACAAGCATCCGCTTCTTCTCTGTGACACGCTAGTATCCTTTCCTGTTTGCCAGTGGTATTTCTTACTGGATGCTACACATCCAAGGGAACAAAGACACACTATAAATTTTGAAGAGATTGAAGAAAAATTAGTTGCTAGATATCACTCCCCACTTTCCCCATTGGTGAAATAGTTTCTCATACAGCTATCCCTGGGCCTGTGTTAAATAAAAGAGAGGATCTTTAAGCAAAAATTCTTCTCTGCAGAGATTCACATTCTTTCCATCTCAGTAAATTAGAAAGCCTTAGGGAGGGGAAAAAGAAGAAAGAAAAGGTGTGCCCTAAGGACAAGAGTTAAAAAAAAAACATCACTGAGAGGTGTTACTGCCCTTCAAGGCACTACAATATCGTAAGTTCATGCCTGCGCACCAGCCCAAAGATGACAGGCTGGTGTAGGGGAACATATCCTTTGATAAAAACACCACCAGAATTCCACTGATGATGATTTAGCCTGCAGCAGTACCCATATGACTCTCAGTGTTCATCTACTACTTTGGCATTTTGACAATTGTTCTATTATATCAAGCAGAAGTTAAGCCAACATAAATCTATTCTAGTGGAGGAGATAAGCAAGCTTAATAAACTTTTTCTTTTCACGGAAGCAGATTGTGTCTTTTGAGGAGTCAACACTGGTCCCTAGATGTTCTATGGCAATCCTGGAGGAGGAACTCTTCCCCAGCAATGCTAGTGCTTCTCTGCTCCCATACCACTTCTAATCGTCTTTTTATTTAGATGACGGTAGGTTTATCCTGAAAGTTGATCATTGCTTTTCAGAGTCTGAAGTCCATCTCACCACATTTTAAGTGACACAGGGCTTCTAACTAGCATCTCTGGACTTCCTCAGTCTTTTTGAGAAGTGATGTGATTGTGTCAAAGTTCAGTGTGACATATAAGTTAACTGAGACAAAACATACAGGCAGTTTGCTGCAAGTGGGCTACAAAGAGGCAAACTCCAGGGAGCTCAGTGATTACAAATCTGCCTATAAGCCCAGGCAGTGGTAAGAAGTACAAAGAGGAAATATTTTTATGTATGAATTAATAAATATATACACACACTCTAACACATAAAATAAGAAAGGAGGAGTTCAAAGAATAGGACACAATTACCTTGTTTGCAATCAAAAGGCAAATTAGATTAATGAATATTCATTCTGTTCTGCTACCAAGGGCAGAACAGAGGACACTGCAAGATATTGGTGGTGGCTCTTCCATTTAGTATCCTCAGGAATGAAACAACGCCTGTCAGATGAGTCTCTTACCACTTGCATTTCAAGGAGGTTTAAGCAAAGACATTCAGAAGCGTTTTGAGCACAGATTCATAGCTGGTTATGGATTGAAAGAATTTTTGGATGCCATTTCAGGTCGCTTTTGCTTCATTCCTGCTTAAGTAAGTTCAGAATGTGGAAAGACCTTTTACCAATTTTATAAAAAAATATAGGTGCCTCCTATTCACAGGCCCACCTTCATTTCACTCTACATAGATTTCATAACAAAGCAACCTGAACAGACGTGACTTTCATCTTTCAAGCACCTCTAACTTAACAATGAAACCTGGGGACACGTGTCTTGAAACTTGCACTCAAACAGTTCCAAGTTCTACTTTTTTCTCTCCGCTGCACCCTTCCTGGCACTGCTTTCTGCTCTAAACCAGAAAAAATAGCCACATTTATCAGTCCTAATCCAGTCAGAAAGCAGTAATAGCAGCATTTTAACCTGCTGCTCTTTGTTAAACACATAACCTTTAATGTTTATGAGACCTCAACTAACTTACTAAGTTTGTTTTAACATTTACTTTCACAAACAAACTGGAACAATTTCTTGAACTATCTAAAAAGTGTAATTAGGTCACTTCTGATTCAGCTGAAACCTTGCTCTGTGTGGCTTGTCTTATGGTAACATGTATCAGTCAAACAATACCAGTCCAGTCCGTTCATTAAAATTGTAACTTTTAGCCCAGTCCCACTTCCCTAATAAGAGATCATGTTTTCCTTATTCACATAAGTGAATCTGAAAGAAAAGAAACATCTTAACGCATGCATTTTAGCTTACTGCTTAGTGAGACTAAATTTGCCTAAAACAGATACGCTATACTATCATTTGTATATAAGAATTTATAAAATACTAGAAAAAAATACCATCACAGTTCCTGACATGGCCCTTAGGAAACATTGTCAAGTTGCAAGAGCATTTCAGTATTCTACCTCACTACACAGAAAAACATAGAACTTTAAATCGAACACTTCTGATGTCTTAATTTAACATTTTTTTAAAAGCAGCATTAAACAGTAAGTGCTTGCAAATTACATCCGGTTTCTGTCTGTATTGGCTGGCAAAAGCAAGCAAAAGAAATTTTGGACTGCTACAGGAGGAAGGTCTTCCTAGTTCTACCACTGCACCATCACCGCCGAGAGGCCGCCTTTGGTAAGCTGTTTTACTTCTTTGTATGACCTTCTGTGTGAAATGGAAGTGAGCCTTTCACCATCACAAAATACCTTGAGAGCTAAAAAGTGTTGCCTGAGTAGTCAAGTGTTTAGGAATTAGCGCAGCTTAACCGTCCTAAACAAGATAAAAACAATGCTAGGAAATTGTTACCTTGTTACTAACAGATGAATATTAAGGTTGTGAAGGACTCAAATTTAAACTGTATTTAAAGAAAACGGCCTAATTCAAATAGTTGCCTATTGTATAATAATGTCTTTTGGACAGGTAGGTTGGTTTGGGTTTTTTCCTCCAGGGTTTCACAGTCACTCGAAGTAAAGACAATTTTTCTGTTCAGAAATATGAAGCATGCTATTTAAAAACACCTGAATTCAGCAAGTTCTATAAAGGATAAACTATCCTGATCTCTCTCATTATTTTTAGCCACTTGTACTACTTATACTATATTTTAAGCATGTGTTGAAGCTCATACTTTTTTTATTTCTTTATTAGCTGAAAACATTAAAGCCATACTAGGCTCTGGACATGTATATTCCAAGAGCAATGACTGCAATTACTTAAGGGAAAAAAATACTGATTTTAAGGATGTTTTGCTTTTCTGAAAACGTGCAAACCTAACAGTTTCCATGGTGAAGATAATTTGCCATCTCAATGCCTTCCTCCATTTTTAACACCTTCTACATTCACTGAAACTTACTCCGTCTTGACTGAAAATTTTTAGCTAGAGTCAAACAGGATAAACATGGCTTAGATTTATATATACACTAGTATACATACATGAGCCAATGAAGCTTTATGATATTTAAAACACCTGGGACGTCAATAGTCAAGATTATATGCAATATATATCCATAGGACTATACCCTCAGAGTCGTATCTTTATCACAAGATTGTCCTATGCATAATTTTGATGAAGGGAATTAAAGCGTGTTTATTCTGTCACTCCACTCATTGGGGTATAGTACAGAATACCATATGTACCTAACTTCCTCAATGCCAAAGGAAATTAAAGCAATTAAAAGTACTTTTAAAACAGTCTTCTCTTGGCTACAGTAGAGAGAAATAAATTAGTCTCTGCTCCATCTTGAGTGGCATTTTCATACTTTCTTTTTGGAGTTTAGTTTGAGTTGTTTTTTTTTTTTTAATCAGCTCTGCTGTTGTAAGAAAGATCTGGGAAAATTTCTAAAAAATATTAAATCACTGGTAGAGATACAGTGTATACACAATCTATATTAATATACACTAAGAAAAACAGTACCATTACAAGTTGTGCAGACACAACAAAAAGCAGTAGTTGTTTTCCTTGTTTCTTCACCATATGGACACAAGAAAAACAACAACACTAAGACAGACACAGCTGATGCATTTTTTTCAGCTTGCCAGGTATGTTGCCCACGCTTTGTAGCCTAATCATATATACCCCTTCCTCCTGATTTGCACATTAAATTTAATTTCCTGTTTAGATCCCATACTCTAGTTTCCAGCACTACACTCCCTAGACATGAATTTTCTGAACAGCAATGCATGAAACAATTGATATTAGTTGCACTTCCCACCAAGAAATGCTTAAGAGTTTGTGAAATAAGAGCTCAAGCAATTTTAACCTTAGCTAGCTAGCTTAGCTTGGACATGGCCTCATAGGGAAGTCACTTTCAGGTTCTGAACTCCTACCAAAATCCCGTACACAACTTGCTTCTAACTTTGAGAAAAATTCCACACTGGAATAAAGTCATAATCAAGAAGCTAGACCTGTGTTGGTTTGAGCAAAGTTGGCATGAGTTGCACAAGGGCATGAGGTGAGAGGAAAAAGTCAAGTACATGATTAACTGCAAGATGATCTGCTTCACTCTATGTTAACCTAGACTGGATGCACACAGACTCAGCTCTTATTTGACCTTCAAAGGCAGTGTTTGTGGTCTAAAACCTGCTCCAAGCTACCGGCTGTCGCATTAAACCAAATCTAAACAAAAAGCTTCCTATTCAGGGCCTTGAGATTATTTGGTGGATTAACACACAAAAGTCAATCAGTACCGCACACAGATGCAAGTATACCCAAGGTAACAGATCGCATACACAGAAGCTATCCCACTCCCCGGTTGTAGCCTACCGTGCCTTTATCCTGAAGGCACATCATCAGAGTGCAGACATCACCCGTTGCTTGATGGTTCACCAGCACCATGGCTTCATCTTCTGATACTGCTTTAACATCATCACCCCATTCCACTACTATTAAAAAAAAAAAAAGGTAAATTTTACAATGACCACATGGAAATTTTACTATCAACAAAACAAAAAACCCAAAGACCCCACACCCAGACAATTATAATAAAGAAATCTACATGCTACATGTCAATTTAAATTGTCACATAGCATAAGATAGGAATATTAGCAAGACCATTTTTCCAAGCAGAGGGTATCCAGCTTAGTTTTAAATTGCATGCACAGAATAAGAACAAAACAAAAATACTCTACCAGAACATATGCACAGAGATTGATCTTTTTGTGTCATTACACCACTCTATATTTAGGGTCTCAAAATTACATAAGCTTTTGACCCAGCTTTCAAATTCAACTGTCTCACCTCATTAAATTAAAGAAAAATCATGTTGTCAAAAATGTTTCTTTGGTGGTTTTTTAAACTTAGGAAGTTTGTTTCATTTCTACACTTACTATTACTAAACTACTCCAGTAAAAGCAGAACAAAAAAATCTGTAGTTGGATCATTAGGTTTAAAATGCTACATATTAAACAAACTCAGTAATTCAAACCTAAACAAGTTAGCTATAGGCAAGAAAGTGGGTTCAGAAAATGCTGCTCAGATGACAGAAACTATTAATCACTATTTTGTAGACCAGAGACCAGATACTCCAATGGCAAGAATGATGTCAGGAGGAAGCTACAGCTGTTGATCATCCAAGATTTACACTGACTAGCAAAAATATGCTGAGGTAAGGAAAAGGAGTTAAAATTGCTAGTTCCATCATCACAAGTAACTAAATAGAGAAAGAGAAGACTGCCTCCCAAAGAAGAATACAGGATGGAAAACTAGAAAAAGTCTGTCGTAAATTAAAGACCAGAATATATCTAATGCTGTTATTGGGGCAAAGAGACAAGCGAGTTGAGTCTGGCCCTCTTCAATAAAAGGGATGGTTACTGCAACGCAGGGTAAAGGGAAAGGATGGGCAGGCAGAGTAGCTCTCTGAAGTTCAAAAGGAAAAGTAAGATGCATTGCCCACGCATGTAGGATATGATTATTTTTCTGTGTTTGTTCAGTATCTTAAGTGGTTCTTACTGGCTATTATTTTCATTTCTGACATAAAAGGAAATATTTCACCTCCACTACTGAATCTTTAGTACTGTTATTAACGGGTCTCCAGGCAGTGAACAACTCATCACAGGACAATTAATTACTTTACTACTGTCTGTCTTTTAAGTAGTGGTTTAACTGATGCAAAAGTATTAGGCTACACACTGAGGACAAGAAGCAATAATCCATGCATAGCTTCCCTGTCCTTGCAGAGATCCAATTAGCATCACACCTTTGAAAACTGCCACTTCTATCACTTTCTAACAGCTCCCAGATTAGTACTGAATTGAGACTTGAACACAAAGTAAAAAAATAAAATGCTGTATTTGGTCACAAGTAGATAGAATCAGACTAGAGAAATGAAGGTGGGGAGGACTATTCATTCCCTAATGTTCAACCTCCCTTCCTTTCCCTGGGCAAGCTAAACACAGATCCTTTCTTATTTTTCTCAGCATGAACTTGGAAAATCCCCTTTACCCCTCCCTCCTCGATTACATGCGAATTCCCTCCAATGTCCTCTCTAACTCCATGGAAGTTGGAAAATGCCTGGACGTGGCAGTCATAGTTGACCGTGCACCTTCCTTATCAAGTATTTCACATATCTACCTATGGCAGTACCCCACAAGGCAAGAAACTAAGATGAAACAAGAATTGTTTTAAAGCGAAATGAATCAACTGCATACTGATTTTGAAATTATTACTTCAGTGTCTTTATTAAGCAGCCAATATACAATAATCTTACTGAACTGTGACTTTCCAAAAGTAATAAAAACTAAATAGTAAATACATTAAGCATCTGCAAAATAAGGTTTCTCACAAGTAGCTAATTATTTCCAAATAAAATTATTTTATTTCTAGATCACTCAGAGAAAAAAGGGATTACTTTACTCTAGATACTTCCCTGGAACATATCAATTTATACTACTAATCATTTCTCTTGTAGAGCAGTTTAAAAAGAAACAATTTTTAATCTTCAAAAATGTTTCACAGATCTAACTTCCTGAAGGATTAAAATAAAAGTTCATGACTGAAAAATGTAAGCCATGAGAAGTAGCATGCAATTGAAAACAACTGAAGAGGAGAACTTATGAAGCTTAATTTGCTAGAAAAAAGCACATTTTTAGCATACTAGGTGAAGACTAATGCCTGACTTTGAAACCTTCAGATAGGCCCCAGTCAAAGGAAAACAGGAAAAAAAGCTTCTGCTGTTACCTAGAGTATTTTACCTACTCTTGTTAAATACAATAGAGGGTAAAAACACACAACCAGCTTACAATGCACTAACAAGTTTCAGCTGAGAAGTAGTAGAAAGGTGGACTCTGTTATACCACTCCAAATGCAAGGTAAAAAAAGTTTGATTTAATTCTTTAATTGATTTACTCAATTCATTTTATCTATCAACTGGCCAGGCTAATAGCTCAACTTCTGCAGCTCAGCTGACAGGTAGTAAGTTATTAAATCACAGTGATTCAGCTGGACATCCTCTAGTTTCTTTCTCCTCAGGCAATCAGGCTGTCTCTTGTGCTTAATAGCACTTTATGGTCAATTGATTGACCCGGTTATCAAGGAGAAAAGAATCAATTCGTGCAAGTCCTTCACAGAGCATTTCTGGATCGGAAACAGAAACCACAAAAGGGTGCAGAAAAACCACTGCCATTACCACAATTTTTTAAAGAAGAAAAAACCCCTTCAAATATCTAGAATTTTAAGTTCACAGTGTTCCTTTAAACTCAGTGGGGGGAGTAAATGCTTGTCTTCAATTTTCTCACCACACTGAAATTTTCAAAAGGAGCACCTTTTACTTTAAGAAATACTTGTGCTATTACATTCCTCCACTGCAGTTGGAAACATTCAAATCAAAACCTCAGCTGCATGGCAGCAGAACCAGGAACACTGCTTTGCTCCACTGTAACAAGACAAAAAACAGTTCAAAGACAAGTATTTGTCACTCAGGGGCCTGAAAACCAGCAAACATTCCCCCATGGTTCCCTTTTACTGCCAGGGCACATTTTATAAGGATACTGGTTCTGTGTTTACAGCCTCACAATAGTTAGATTTCTGCAAATGCAGTTTAACATAGTGAAATAAAATAAGGGAAAGAAAGAGCAGGAAATCACTTTAACATGGGAATTTGAAATCACAGTAAACTCGGTGCCAAGAAAATCCTGATCAGTAATGACATCTTTTACCCACGAGATTGAGACAGAATTGGCTTAGCTGTAAGAGATACTTCATTTGTGACTTAGTGTTGTAAGCAAAAGACTTCTCAAGGAAAGGATAAAGACAAGTTTACTTGCAATTGCATGTGCCGTTAGACAGAAAGATTTATCCTTCTCTTACAACAAGAAGTCCAAGATGTACACAAGTCTCTAAAACATCAGGAAAATTTTTCATGTAACGAGCTACAAACTGAGCTTTTTACGAGCTAATCCTTGCAAAGCTTAAAGAAGAAAATAAAAGCAATAAAAGAGGTTTTTTCTACGTTTTTACTGAACTATTACACATATAAACGTAGCTATTCAGAGCTCTCAGAACACTTGGCTGCTTTGTGATCATGTCCTTAACATAACTGTGTGCATGTAAGTGATGCTATGAACAAATATTCAAGCACTTTAATTGCAGTATGTCATTAGGCTGGGCAAATGACTACTCAGCTAACTAACAATTCAGTAGATTTATTTTATGCTTTTGAATATACCTGGCAAGAATGGCAGTCCAGTATTCTGCGCAATTGCCTAGCAATTAATATGAGCTACTTCATTTTGCATACTGCATTTTAAAACTTCAAAAATGTTCTGAAATTTTTGACCATCTCTTCTTTGTTATAGTTAACAGTTTCACTACAGTGTGTGCCATAAGAATCAGTGTAAATTTTACTGGCATCTTAACAACTTAAGTTCTAATGAATACCTGAGGTTATTATTTCAACACGTATTGAGTTTTAACTTCTTATTTCTCCACTGAATTGGGAAGCAAAAAAAAAAAAAAAAAGCCTCCTGCCAGAAATTTTCAACAGCCACTAGGAAATGGGCAGTGAAGGAACCAGATGCAATTCTCATACTAGCATCATCCAAATCTAAAAGCTAACATATTAATCCCATAAATAAAAAACATGAAAAAACTGATACTTTATGGCAAGGTCAGGGAAACTCTTTAGGTGTTCTAATCACAATTATTAAAAACGTCAAACCCATAAAACAGCTAGATAAATCACCTGCAAGTTATGATATATGTAAACATATAATTGATTTGGATATCCACTTTATTTGCCATTTAGATTTGCATCTACACACGATATTCACAACTTTCTCTAGAAATTGGAGAAGTTAAGAACTTTTACTCCAGAACTTCCCACCCTTTAGTTTATTTTCCTTCTGATCACTTGTAATCACTTGCATCCATGACACAAGACTTCAAGAAAACCTGTTCCTAGAAGTTGCAGGTTCCCGACACTTAGAACTGAACAGTACCACCTTCTGTCAATCGCTTGGAAACCTTCAGCAACAAATAAACGGCATTATTAATGGACAGCCTCCTTTGCTTCCTCAAAAGCCACCCTGCTTTCTAAAAGAAGGAACATTGTTATCAGGTATTCAATAGTGACTGTAACTCATGACAACCAGGTTTCTATGTTTTAAACATTCCTTCTCCTACTCAAGCATTTGTGTCTGGCAAGTTGCAATCCTGCTTTACTGTTATCCACAAATGACTCGTCAAAGCATGTTTCAGCTAGAGTAGCTATGTACAGTTGTTAAACTCATTTGTCTCTCCTTTATAGATGGGATTCTTTGATAGCTGGCATTAAGAAATCCCAGAAGTAATGCCAGAGGTTAAATATTACTTAGCGTGCCTAGACCGCATTAAAAAAAAAAATGGGTAAAGATGTCCTAAAGGTGTTTTTTCCCCTTAACGAAAAGGT